AGTCCAAGTTTCCACTTCTCGTAAGCTTCCTTTTTGTGTTTAAGCTCACCGTGGATGTCCCCAGTAAGCCAATCTGGTGGCCTACCATATTTGCTTTTCTTGCTGAGCATCAGGATGGTTTCTTTCTGTGCCTTTAATAAGGCTTCTTTAAAATACTGCCAGTTCTCCTGGATTCCTTTCCCCTTCATGTTAGCATCCCAGGGGATCCTGTCCATCAGTTCTCTGAGGGAGTCCAAGTCTGCTCTTCTGAAGTCCAGGGTGTGTATTTTGCTACTCTCCTGTCTTCCTTTGGTCAGGATCCTGAAATCTACCATCACATGATCACTGCTTTCCAGGTTTTCACACACTTCTACATCCCCTATTAGTTCCTCCCTGTTTGTGAGCAGAATTCAAGCTTTCAGTGGAAATATTTAGCACACAACATTGTATTTGGTATGAATCTCCAGAATTGGCACTATGGATATGTCTTGTACTGGTCTCCCAACAGATGTCAGGGTGATTAAAGTCGCTCATGAAAACCAGGGCCTGCGATCTGAAAGCTTCTCTCAGTTGTCCAAAGAATGCATCATCTACCTCATCCACCTGATTCGGTCGCCTGTAGCAGACACCAACCACAACATCGTTGCTGTTGCTTCCACCTCTAAATTTAACCCATAGACTCTCAACAGTCTTTTCTCCCTCTAAGATGCGGGGAAATACACAATGGAGGGAAGATCACTGTGTCGTTGCTTCTCCTTTTCCCTGGTGCCCCAGTCTTCCTCCCTGGGCCCTGATCTTCTACATCAGCTTGTCCATGATATTGTGTTTCACAATTATTGACCTACATTGGGAAAACAAATCTGTACAATGTTCGGTTCAGGCAAACAAATAAGGAAATATCAGGGATTGACAAAAGCTGTGGGTTTCATACCCACAGCCAGCTCTGGATCACCAGTGTTCGGAGAGCTGGGTGAGGTCCTTCTTCCAAGCTGGGCCAGAGAAGTGAAGCAGGCACATGATAGGTGCAGTGTGTAATGTGGCCATTACACACAAAGGTGTTGACGGCTGCTGTCACATAACTTTGGGCTGAAAGCAAATCACAGACATCGTGACAGCCAGTGGGGGTGCCTAGCGCTCTCTTTTAGGCTCAGCTGGTGGAGCAATCAAGTTCCTTTATGTAACAGTAACCCAGCTGCAGAAAGTGGGGGCTATTGCCCAGGACCCAGGGCACATGGTCATGCGAGGGCTGAGCTATGCCAGGGAATGGGCAGGATGCTTGAGTTGGACTGTGTCTGTTGGAGGGAGAAGCCAATAGGAGGGGTTATGACCAAGATCCTAGAAGGCAGCACAGAAGCAAAGTCTGTTGGGGCCCAGTGGAGGGGCAAGCTGGGGGGTTTCTGAGCAAGGAAACTGTCGGCTGTTGTTAGTTTCTGCTACATGCAGGGAAACAGAAGTGGGTGTGTGTGGGGGTGTGTGGGTGGGTGTGCGAGTGCGCTAGAGCAGTGTCACGGCCCTGGGTCCTGTCACAAGTGAACACACTGAATTGACGCCACTGAAAAGAGCCCATTTTCCCGAGTGCTGACAAGACCCAAGGGGTTTCTTTGGGATGCACAGAACTTTCAGGATTTTCTGGGCACGTCCTGGTGTAACGCAGTGAACTGCCCTGTTCTCTGAGCTCCTTGGAGGCTCCATAGACCTGCTGTCCCTTGGTCATCTGCTCCCCACTGCAACCAGCCTGTTTCGGGGGCGCAGTGGGACCCTGCATGTAGTCATTAGTCAGGGGCATTGTCATGAGCCTCTCACTCACCATGGCTTCTACTCCCTTCCCCTTACTCCTGCCCCCTTTCCAGACTTTTCCTTCTTCCTGTCTCGCCTCCCTGCCTCTGCTCCAGTTGCCCCTCCTCCCTCACCCCACTGCAGACCCCCCATTCCTGCCTCCTTCTCTAACAACCCCTCCCCTCTCCTCCTTTTGCCTCCACCCTTCCTTCTGTTAGCTCCTGGCTCCTCCCCTTTCCATCCCCCCCATTGGAGACCTTTCTCTCCACTCCCCCATTCCCTCCTCCCCCCAATTCCCTCATTCCTTACCCTCCCTTATGCTCCCCCCTTCAGGCCTCTCTGCTACCCACCCTGGAAACCCCCTCCGCTCCTCCCTCCTGAGCCCTGCTCCAGCCCCCTCTCCTCACCACTTCCCAATTTGCTCCCTCCCCTCTCCTGAACCGTGCTCCAAACCTCCTCCCTTTCAGTCTCCATCCCTTCCTCCTGCACCCCCTTTCCAAAGCCTGTTTCTTCCCCACCTTACAGTCCTGCCCTCCCCAGCTCCAAACCCACCACCATTCACTACTTCTCCCTCCTGCCCAACACTGCCTGTGCTGCACTGCACTGCAAACCCCATCTCTACCATCTGGCCCCAGCTCCCTGCTCTTCCTACTCCCCACCCCCCTGTCATGGGGCCGGGCCTGCCCCTCACAGTCTCTGGGTCCTGTCCAGTCCCTGCGCCACACAGG